AACTGCCCTCTGTACCCACAGGTGAGTGAGCGGCCACTGATGTTCCTGCTGGACACGCCTGGAGTGCTGGCTCCTCGGATTGAGAGCGTGGAGACGGGCCTAAAGCTGGCCCTATGTGGTGAGCCACCCTCAGGGTCCCACCTGTGGCCCAGTGTAGCCCCAGCCCGGTGGTTGTGCCACACTAACCCGCTGGCCGCACTGTCCCTTGTACAGCCGGGCAGAGTGGTCAGGTCTGGGCATGGCCTTCTCCTTGCAGCCTCTGGCTGAGATCGAGAGCGTGCACTCACCCTCGCTGCCTGTTTCCAGGAACCGTGTTGGACCACCTGGTTGGGGAGGAGACTCTGGCCGACTACCTTCTCTACACCCTCAACAGGCACCAGCTCTTTGGGTGAGTGCCGGGTGCAGGGCAGGCCAGCCCATCCTCTCTCCTACGCTAGTGTAGTTTCCAAAGTGGCACGGTTAGGATATTGCAGACAAACAACAGTTTGTGCATCATTTGAAGCAGCGGTCGCCAACTGGTGGTCCACGGGCCACTGGTGGTCCGTGAGGTCCGAAAGGTTGGCGACTGCTGAGTTGGCCCTTTGAGTGCCAACCAATATCCTAGGAACTATGCTAAAATTGCCAAGGCATTTTTGCTGATTTTACAGCAGTTTAGGAAAAAATTATGAATCGCAAGTACCTGTAAAAAATTAGGCAGATAAACGCCAGTGGTCAATTTTAGAACTACAAACATTCGGCATCATAAGTATTATCTGCACTTAGGTGCCATCTGTCAATAAAGAGTGAACTACTAGCATCTAATAGTGACACTGCAGGAGGAGCACGATCGCGCTCCCTGCACTTTTGGCGAAAGACAGGAGGAGCGCGATTGCGCTCCCCGGCACTCTAGGGGTTAGCAGCCGTGGGCAAACTACTGCCCGCTGGCCGGATCCGGCCTGTTTGAAATGAATAAAACTAAAAAAAAAAAGACCGTACCCTTTTATGTAATGATGTTTACTTTGAATTTATATTAGTTCACACAAACACTCCATCCATGCTTTTGTTCCGGCCCTCCGGTCCAGTTTAAGAACCCATTGTGGCCCTCGAGTCAAAAAGTTTGCCCACCCCTGGGTTAGAGTGTATATAGTGGGATGCGTTTGATACACAGACACAGCTGTGAAGCTGCTTTGTAATTCCTCCTCATACCTTGTCACCTACACTGACACCAGTCACCCACACTCACGAAGGTCCCTGTGGAGCCAGATGTGACCTCACAGGCCGCCCTGGCTCCTGCTGGCTGACGGTTCTCTGTTTAGGTACGTGCAGCACTATGGCCTGGGCGAGGCCTGCGATGACGTGGCAGGTGTGCTGAAGCGTGTGGCCATAAAGCTGGGGAAGACGCAGAAGGTGAAGGTGCTCACGGGCACAGGTGAGACTCGGGGCTTAGGGGGCCTGTCCTTGGAGCAGGCCTGGCTGTCCAGGGAGGACACGGGGGGACATGAAGGTTCTTGTGGGAGCGAAGGTTCTTGTCCAGCCTCCCTGCTGGGTGCACTCCGTGTTCACCCTTTCCTCTGCAGCCTCAGGAGGCGCTCTGTTTTATTTATTTATTTATTTTGTTAAATATATTTTATTGATTTTTTATAGAGAGGAAGGGAGAGGGACAGAGAGTTAGAAACATCGATGAGAGAGAAACATCGATCAGCTGCCTCCTGCACACCCCCTACTGGGGATGTGCCCGCAACCAAGGTACATGCCCTTGACCGGAATCGAACCTGGGACCCTTCAGTCCGCAGGCTGACGCTCTATCCACTGAGCCAAACCGGTTAGGGCTGTTTTATTTATTTTTTAATTTAATATATTTTTATTGATTTCAGAGAGGAGGGGAGAGGGAGAGAGAGATTGAAACATCAATGAGAGAGAACCATTGATTGGCTGCCTCCTGGGCATGTGCCCTGACCAGGAATTGAACCGTGACCTCCTGGGTCAAAGGTTGACTCAGCTCAACCACTGAGTGACACCAGCCGGGCTCGCTGTTTTCTTTTTGAGTGGGTCCTGGTGCCTGAGCTCCACAGGGTCGCTGTTCCTGAGGGCAGGCTGGGTGGGATCCTGCATGGGAGCCCCTTCCTCACCAGACCCTCTTGCCTTCCCCAGGCAACGTGAACGTCATCCAGCCCAACTACTCTGCCGCAGCCCGTGACTTCCTCCGGGCCTTCCGCAGTGGGCTGCTGGGCCCCGTGATGCTGGACCGGGACGTCCTGCAGAGCTTCCCCCCCACCGACCCCAGCCAGGCTCCAGGCCCCAGAGACATGTAGTGCCCCAGACCTTCATGCCTGGGTTTTGACACTCGGCTTCCTCTTCCGAAAGCTCTATGCCAGTCACTACACTAAGGTCTCTGCTCCAGGAAGGGGCTGTGCCCCCCTGCTGCTCCACAGCCAGGCCAGCTCCTGGTTCCAGGGGACAGTGCCTGGGGTGTGGACGTCAGGCACCGACGTCCCTGAGCAGTCCTGTGTGCCTGGCCTGGCGAGGACATTCACTCCTGCTCACATCTCGTATGGAGAAGCGGACATTGTCCCGGAAGGAGTGAAGCTATAATCTAATTTAAATGTTTTAAACTAAAAGCCTCATCTCTGTTGTTGGCCCAGTCACCCTCAGCACCTTGGGGGCTTGTGTCCGGGCCCCTGTCACCAGGGAGAAGTGGGAGGCGAGCTGGTTAGCAGCTGAGGGATGTGGAGTCACCTGATGCAGTGTCCTGGGTCCTGCAATGAGGAGGCGTCGTTGCCAGGACAGTGTTTATTTCATGACGTGACTGCCATGTGCACACAGATGTGGACGGGAGGGTCCAATACTCGTGGCAGAACCCAAGGACTGGCCTGTCCCCTCGGTAACGGGTACTGGCTGGGAGGGTCTCTGGTATGGTCAGCGGGGACCTAGGGCTCCCACTGCTTCTGAGCACCTTCTAGCTGATGGACAATGGCACTTCCCAGGTGCCTCCCAGCATTTGTCATTGCACCTGAAGGGGTCCACGGGGCAGGAAAAGAACAGAGGAAGGATGGGTGGGTGTGGGGAGCAGATTCCCGGTCAGTAGCCCTGGCTGCTCTGTCGGGGTGGCCTGACCTTCCTGTAGGTCTCACTACCCATGTGGGTTCCCTTGTAGTTCCCACTATTTATGTGGGTTCCCCCCAGGTCCCACTACCCACGTGGGTTCCCACACTCCACAAACCCTGGCTAACCCCGAGATGGTCCACCTGAGCACCCTCTGCCTCCTGCGGGAACCCTGAGGGATTCAAAGATTCGGGGCCGCACCAAACGCCAGACGCGCTCCCAGAGTTGGGGATGAAATGCGCTCTTGACTGGAGTGTGGCATCTCGATTCCAGAGCGAGCTGATGGCTCAGTCCTGGTGGTCATCTGAGTGGCTGAGCGCAACCACACTGGGCCCACATGTCGGGCCCTTGGGGAGAAAGCTCGGCCCTGTGCAAGATGACTTTCCTGCTCCCTGCGGATAAAGTAGCAGGACGGTCACACTGCCTCTGAGGCCCTGGGCAGGGCTTGGCCACGGCTCACTGGTCTTTGGTAGCATTGAGCTTGGTCTGGAATGGAAGGAGGAGCGTCTGGGCTCGCTGCACCCCAAGAATACTGGCAGTGTGGCACAGGAGGCTGCCGAGGCTTCCTCCTGCAGCTTCGTGTTTTGGAGAAGAACACTTGGTCCGAGTCCTGCGGAAAGCCTAGAGGCCCCTGGCCCCTGACCAGAGCCAGCTGTGGGAGAGCAGAGGTGACAGGCTCCCTGCGTGCTGTCCGTCACTGAGTCCAAAGGCCCTGAGGTCCAGGGGACGAGGGCGCATTCTGGGAGGCTCTTGCTGAGCACCGGGAGGGTGAGGTCCCCAGGAGCCAGCCTGGGAGCTGCCCTGCCTCGGGGTGCGGTGGTGGTAGAGCTGGAGTACACGTTGAAGAGCTGCTCCCCCAGGGCTGAGTTCACAGGTGCCCCAGAGGCTAAGGGTTGGCCTTATACGTAGGGGTGTTGGGTGCCATAGGCAAACCCTGTGTTCCCTTAGAAGCTCCTCGACATCGGCCCTGTGGCCCTACCCTCAGAATGTCTGGAGTGTTTAGACACCCCAAGATGTTAGAGGAGCTCTGCCTCCTGGGTGCTTCCTTCTACTGAGGGAGGCTCTCATGCCTTGCTGGGTCCTGGGGCCCAACCATCTCCGCCTTCCTCCAGGTACTGCCCATGGTCATGTGACTAGAGCTCCCAGCCTCACCTTCGAGGGGGTGCGGCCCGCTGAGGGTTGCTACTGCCTACTTGCTACCTGTCTGCCTAGAACACAGCGAACCAGGCTGGGGAGGGCTCTTCAGTGGGAGTGGCAGTTGCAGTCCCTGAGTGCAGGCCAGGGCTCTGGGTCCGGGATTTGAACCTGAAGTTCAAAGGGAATGGAAAGATCTTGATGTTTAAACAAAATGTTGCTTTTTCCAAAGTAGGTCCCATGAAGAGTCAAAGTGACTTGTTTCAAGTCAGAGCATAGTGGCTCCAAGGGAGTCCCTGGCAGTGGGTCCCAGAGCATCTGCACAGAGCGCCGGGGGGCAGGGCAGCCCGTGGGCAGGGTGTCCTCCTGGGAACTGTCCACAGAACCACGAGTGGGCAAGCCTGGCCCTGAGATCCACAGAGGGCCAGCACCTGACATTCTCCAGGCTTCAGTCCGTGAACAGAAACCTCTTCCCTTCTCCAAATCAGTTCCTTTGGTCCATTGTGACAGCTTTCTGTGGGGGAGGCCACCACAGTCCTCTGCACCTCTCTGCCTGGTGGTCAGCACTGTCCACACCCCTCGAGTGTCCAGGGTGGGTTCCAAGGAGACAGTGGCCGGAACAGCCTGGTCTTGGCACCTGTCTTTGAGGCAGCTCTGGAGAGATGGCAGGCAGCTGGCCTGGACGGCACAGGAGCCACGGGACACCTGCCTTTCTGGGGGAACCCCCTGACCTGTAAATGGTGGGTGAGGCATCCTGGAGCTGATGGTGGGGAGGTTCTGGAGGGGCTTGGGCAGGATGGTGAACAGGAGGTGGCACCTGGGTCACAGGGAAGAGAGGATGCAGCTCCTGCTGGGACTGGCAGGCATTACCCACGCAGCCTTTCTGGACACCAGGACCGTGGGCTGCGGGCTGCGGGCTGCGGCCTGCGGGGAGGGTGCGGGCTGGGGGGCCGATCTGGCTCTGAGCCCTGCCATGCCTAGGGCTGCAGCAGCCCCAGGGCGCTGAGAGGCCCCGCATCCGACGTCCATGCCCAGTAGCTGTAGACAGCGGTCCTGTTGCCTCCGGATGCGGTGTCCTCGTCCTCCAGGTCACTCTCCCAGGGCCCCAGAGCCCTCCTCCAGCCTGAGCCCGAGGAGGCCGCCGCCGCCGCCCCCGCCGCCGCCGCTGCCGCCACCGCCCCCACGCGCAGAGAGGACCCAGCGTAGCGGGGCGCCGGCCTCACGCGCACCCTGGGGACCCCGCGTGAGCCTCCGCGTGCGCCTCCACGCGCGCTGCCGCGGGCCCCTCCACGGCCACCCTTGGTCTCGCCGCTGTCGCAGAGAAAGGCGGCGGCTAGCAGCAGAGCCCAGCACGTCGCTGCCATCCAGTTCATTCTCGTGGGGCAAAACCTGTGGACGACGGAGGAAAGGACCTCAGCTTCCGCGGACAGGGGCTGGTGCCTGAGGCGGGGACTCACTCCGCTCTCAGGCTGGTAGACTGATGAGGGGCTTGAAGGCCTAGGATCCGGGACTCAGGCCTGGGGAGGGGTCTTGTTCAGTAACCGGGGAGGGTGGGGTGGGGGTGAGGGGTCAGCGCCTGGGTGGAGTGGGGGCAAAGCGGGGGTGGTGAGCACCGTGCAGTGGGGTCGGGAGGCCGGGGCGGCTCTCCATCCTGGGCTGCTCCGGGAGGACCCACCAGGCCCGCGCTGCGGAAGGGGGGGGCGGGGGGTGTGCTTGGAGGCCGCAGTCCGAGGGCCCCCAAGGACCCGGATCGGGGTCTGGAGCAAGGACCCCTGTGCCTCTGCCTGGCTCTCCCGGACCCTTCCCGGCTGCGCGCAACCGGGGCGAGGCTGGAGTCTGGGGAACGCGCGGCCGGTGACGCGGGCTGACTCCACCCCCCCAGGCCGGGACCTAGGGGATCGGTCCCTTCCCCCCAACCCCGGCCCCGCACTCCACCCCTCCTCCGACTGCCTAGCCCCACAGCCGGGACGGGACCGGGACCAGGACCGGGACAGGACGCCGGCCGGTTCCTGGCGCAGCGATCTGGGCGGCGGCTCGACCCTCTTCCCGGGCCCGCCGGTCCCTCCATCCCTGGTCCCGCGGGCACCCGCCCAGCCTTACCCTCCACGGGGCTCAGTCGGAACCGCGGCCGAGGTGGCGGCTCCAGGGGCTGCAGCCGAGAGGAAAGCCCCGGGCTGTGGGGGAGATCCTTCGCCCGAGCGGGGCGCTGGAGCCCGGATCCGTGCGAGGCCGCCGCCCTAGGATTGGGGGCGGGCAGACGCCGAGGCTCGGCTCGTCCCTCGGGAGACGGGAAGGGAGGAGAGAGAGGCGGCTCTAGGAGCGCACAGCCCCCTCCCTTCCCAGCACCACCCTCCTCGCTGCACCCCGTCCTCCTTCCCACCCACACAACTGCCTCCCTCAGCAGTCCCCATCCATCCCCCTCTCCCC